CAGTGGCAGAGGGCACGGGTCCCGGTGCGGGGAGCTGGGGGGCCCCTGGGGGGGCGGCGGAGGGAGCCGGAGTGGCCGCACTGGGAGCCTGCAAGGCCGGTGGCTGGGCCTGTAGCATCTGCTGCTGGGCCGAAGAGTCCGAGTCGCTCTCGTTGTCCTGGGGGCTGGGGATGCTGGGGGACGTGCTGCGATTGTCCTGGTCGATGTCTTTGGGGTCACTGCTGCCCTCATCGTTGACACTGCGGCTGTCAGAACTCTCTCCCTCGCCTTCGGATGGCGAGTTGGGCCGGCTGATTTCCTAGGGCCGGAGACGGGAGGGATGAAGCTCTCGGAGGGCAAGGGCTCTCTCTGCCTCGTGCCGGGCGCACAACAAAGGTTCGTGCAGATGAGGCGGCGAGCCTGGCCCCGGGGACCTCAGGTCCTCCTTTGGTCCGGCTGGCATCAGAGGCCGCTCTAGGTCCCTCCCTAGGAGACAGGGCCCTGCCGTGCCCCAGGGAGACCCTGGGCTCAGGGCTTCTCGGGGGGTGTTAGCAGTCCCTGAGCTACAGTCCCTGTGGCTAGGCTGCACAGCTCACCTGGGTTTTTGTCTTCTTGGAGCTGGTCCTGTCGGCCTCCTCTGTATCGGAGGCCACCTTCTCCCGCTGGCGCTTGGTGCTCTTGAGGGGGGATGAGGCTTCCTCCTTCACTTTCTGCAGTGGGAAAGCCCATGAGGGGCATCAGGCCGAGGGAGGGGGTCCCTCAGCCCCGGGAGAGACGACAATGGTTCGCTGACACCTTGCTCCTGTATTCTGAGCTCCATCTCCAGAAGCAAGAAAGTTCTGGAAGGGACCAGCTGAGGCCGGAAGAAAACAAGTATCTGGGGGTGGAAATAACTTGGCTTTGGGGGGAGGGAGCCTTTCTAATCACACCCTACCCTTTGCCTCCGAGGCCTTGGGAAACTTGAGGCAGAGATGGCTCCTGAAGGTCAGTGCTGGGAGCTTCAGCGGACCACCTTTGTCCAGGCCCTGGACCCCGGACCCCAGACCCCAGACCCCAGTCCACGGCCCTAGGCCAGGCAATGCTGATGCCCAGGGCGGCTCCAGGAACAACCCGCAGCCCCATGTCTGAGGGAGCTGAACATCAACTCCAGCAACCTGGGGTGTTAATGAGGGGGCAGGCCCAAGCAGCCCCCGCTACCCTGGGTGACAGGCACCTCACCTTGGCCGACTTCTTCACTGTCTCTGCTTTACTGTCATTGCTGGAGGTGCTGGCAGCGCTGGGTGAGTTCCGGCCACTGGAGCGGATGTCCTCATTGATCGGCGAGGCACGACCATCAGGGCTGGCTGGCTGCTTCTTACGACCGCTGCGCAGTGTAGACATCTGCCCACCCAGACCAGAGGCTGGTGAGACTGGACCCCAGGCTCTGCTGTGGGCCACCTGGGCCCAGCATACATGCTGGAGCCTCGGGAGCAGACCCAAACACCTGCCCTATGGCAAATCCCAGACCAGGGTGCCTGGCAAGCGACAGGCACCTGCAGCTTTTCCTCACGGTGTGGGGGTCAATGCGGACTGAAGGGAGGAACGAGGGGTGAATGGGTGGGTTCACACGGAGGAGACAGCAGTTCTTAACTTAAAATGCTCATCTCCAGGGATGGTCCTGGATGCTGTGCGGTAGAAAAGAGCGAGGTTTTCCGAGGGGCAGAAGTTGGCGAGGGCCGTTTACTCCGCCAGGTTCTCCAGAATGGCAATCACACACAGGGTCTGCTTTAAATCACCCCACCCTTCCTGTTTGTTCCACGGAACTGCCCACTTCCTTGCCCAAACCAAACACCTGCTGATTTCATCTGACAGGATGGGAAATGACCCAAAGAGATAAACCGACAAATAATGTGGCTCAGCTCCTAAAACCACCAAGCACTTCGGTTCATTTCTGCAAAGCCATGGGACTCAGAGGAGATGGGGATACAATGATTCATGCCAGTCCATGTGCTGGGTGGCCAGGGCGCGGCAGCCTTGACAAGATGCTAAGGTCAGAGGAAGGTGGACGGTGCCCTCTACAGGCCTGCAAGGGCCGCTGGGGAGGCTGGCCACGGGGGAAGACTCTGGCGGTATCCCTAGTGAGAACTCTCACTCCCAAAGGCCCTGCTGACACATTTCCAACCTAGAAAACAAAACCTCTTTATGAAAAGGGCTATATAGTGAGGACAAAAATGTACCGAAAGTTTCCAAAACTGGATCAAATACTTATTTAAAAAAAAAAAAAAAAAAGGCAGCTGCAAGTTTAGGCAGCAGAGACACGGCCACTGCAGGTGTCAGGCTCAGGGGCCAGAGGCAGGTCTGAGGGACTTGGAGAGCACGCACTGAGCCAGAAACTGACGCTGAGTTCAGGACACACACCCCACTGACTCCCCGAGGACGACACGAGGGAGGGAAGGAGAGAACAGAGGCTCTTCCCAGACCCACAGACAGAACTAGTATTTTTGGGCCAATCACTCCTTCAAGGAGGCTGGTCCTCTACATAAAACCGGTCACCTCCCAGCCTCCCGGGAGGCACAAGCCCGGGCGTCCTAGTAACCCGAAGCGGCCCAGGTCGCCTGCCCGAGGACTCACCGAGCCACGACTGCGCCGTGTCCTCATGCTATGCTTCCCACTGAGCCCATCGTCTTCCTCTTTGACAGGTTTGAACATGAATGGTGGGGGGTCCACAGGCTTCTCGATGGGGGGGAGCTCGCCGTACTTCTTGAAGTGGATGCGGCAGTCCGTGCACAGGAGGATGTTCTCCCGGCCCCCGTGGTGCCAGTCTTTGGAGGCTGCGTGAGGCAAGAGGGGTGCGGGTGGGGGGGCCCCTCCGTGGGCTCGGACAGACACCCGCCGCTCTCTCCCAGGGCGGGAGAGGATTTCAGGAATACCCGCCACCTCCGCCCCGACCACACTGACTGCTCGACAGGGGAGTGACAACAAATACGAACTTCTGCTTTTTCTCAAGTAGTAACCCTGAAGCGCAATGCGGACGTCAAGCCAGTGACTCCCTGGCAGGTCTTCAACTGGACTCACGAGACGTTCCGAACCTGGAAGCGCCTGAACCTGGCCTGCCTCAGCGAAAGCGCCGCCCCCCACCCCCGCCTTCCCACAGACCCCCACTTACTGGTGGTGAAGCAGTGGCGGCAGGCGTACCCCTTCAACTCCTGCTCGCTGTCCTCACTGTCAAAGTCATCCTCGCTGGCTGAACTCAGGTCCACTGGGCATGGCAGGAACACAACAGGGATGGGGGAGACACCATCATGCTTGGCCAAGACCGGGACCACCTGTGACCCGTGGCCTGCCCCAGGCTCTGAGCCACCAGAGTCGCCTGGAAGGGGCAGTGTTCACGAAGGCCCACTCTGAATTCCTCAGGGCCGGTGATCAGAACGAAAACTCGGGTGAAGTACCCGAGGGTCTGCCCTACCATATTTCGGGGGACTGGCATCACACCCGCATCCCGGAGTGGCGAGCACTGATGCCCACAAACTGGGAATGGGAGCAGGCGAAGTGCGTCCAAGTGCTTTCCCTGACACGTGCGGACGTCCCGAGGCGCTCCCTCTCCA